CCCTCCTGCCTGGTGAGGCCAGGAAGCTGGCCTTGCCAGTTAACTCTTCCAGACCTGGGGACCCCCAGGGCCGAGCACCCCTTCTGTGCTGTAGCAGTCGGGGCAACAAGGAGCTCCCTAGGTCCAGGCTGGCTGGGATGTCAGGGCCCCTTGCTGGGGACAATAGCAAGGTTTTCCCAGCTGGGGCTCAGAGCAGAGCAGGCAGGGATACTTTGGCAGTGCAGAGCACCCCTTGGCAAGGAGAGGGGCCAAGGGCACAAGAGGGGACTGTAGGAGCCAAGGGGACAGGGATGTTAGGCAGTGATAAGGGGACAGAGCGGCGGGGATAGGCATGGCGCCAGGGATTAGCACTGAGTGTAGGAGAATAGCTGGTGGTGACAAAAGGACAGTGCTCAGGGGACAGGGTGTGATGAATGGCCACGGGCAGTGCCAAGGGCACATGGACGGCAGCGTGCACCGAGCAGTCCCAGGGACTGCTGCAGGGCTGATGCCCAGGGGATGGGGACGGGGACAGCCGATGGGGACGGGGATGGGACTGTGGGCGGCTCTGCAGCAGCAGCAGGAAACGATGTGTGAAATGAAGAGTTCCTGCCCAGTGCCCAGAGGGAGCGTGCAGCATACTGAGCAGGGCTGGGGCCGGGGAGGGGGCTGCAGGGGGGCGCACGGCCGAGGGGGTCCCCAGCACCGCATGGGGACCCTTGCTGGGCGCGCCTCCGCAGCATGGGGCTGTGTGTCTTCTGCAGGGAGGCGGGAGGCGGCGCTGGGCATTGGAGCGGTGGGTGGCTGCCGTGGGGCTAGAGGCTGTGGGGGCACATTCCTGCTAGATCGAGCCCTCTCTGCCTCCCTCTCCGAGATGCCCCAGCCCCGTGCACCCGCCACCCCCTCCCTGCTCGCTGGCTGGTCCCCCGCTGCTCCGCAGAGATAATTAGATCCGCTATTTCGGCAGGTTCCGCATCCCTGCCAGGCGGATCCGCAATCAGCCTTAAGAGGGCCCGGGGCTCCCACACCTGCGCACCCCCTCCCCTCCACCGCATCACCCCCGTGCCGGGGCACCTTGCCTGACCCTGCTGCCTCTGGCTGCCTCAGGTCCCTGCCTGCCCGTGTCCTGCAACCTCCACCCCTGGAGACAATCCTGGGTGCCCACAAGAGGGGCTGCACACTCCTCTCCTGTGCCGCTCGTGTCTCCACCGCAAGCTCCAGGGTCACAGCCTCATACCAGCTCCTGTAGAGGGCTCAGCTCCGTCCCCAAAGCAACCTGGCTGCATGTGGACCTGTGCAGGGGGTGGCACCGACTCCAAGTGCAAGCAGGAGCGGCTCCTCACGAGCTGCCCTGCATCCCCAGCTCCCATCCATCCCTGGTTCCAACGTTACCGTCTCCCCGCGGCAGCCGGGGAAGGTTTAAATAATTCACGGAGGTGAGCTGGAGCACAGATGCTCCCGCAGGCAGCAGCGGCTGGGCGGCAGAGATAGCGGTACCGTCCCCACCGGCTGCCCAGGGCCTGCTGGCACCTACCAGCTGAGAAGGAAAGGCTGGGACTCAGCTTTCACTGAGGAAAAGCACTGAGAGCACCATCCTGACATGGATCAGCAGAAGTGGGAAGTGAGCAGTGTTCCTGGGGAGCCCCACACCGGGGGAGCCCCACACACTCCCCCCACCATCGCCTCTGCCCCATATCTCCTGTGCAGGATTCAGATAGATTCCTGAGAAAACCTGTAGTTAAACTGGCAGCTCCAGCTGTAAATTCAGATCAGTAATTTAAGGGGATAAAACTATTAATAGAACGCAAAAACATCCACTGATGTCTGAGGCACAAACCTGGGAGTGAAGGTGAGGGTGCCTGGATGACTTGCACAGCCACCTCCTGGTCCTGCTCAAAGCCCTGGCACTACCGGTGCTGGCATGGTGGGAAGAATGGCAAGAATTGCTGTAACTAATTGCTAGCTGTTCCAGGAGAGGGGAGATCAGCATCCTTCAGGAATGGGGTTCTGATGGACTCCAAGATTGCTATTACCTGCCAGCTCTGCTATTGCACACTCCATCACTCAGCATGGCTGTGGCCACCATGCTAGCCCCTCGGCTTGGAAAACCACTGAAAACAGGTATCATTACACTGATAATGCTTACTAGGGGTGTTTCCACTGCAGTCCCACTACCTGTGCTGCTAGATATGCATTGCACTGATGCTGTTCAATGCTGCCCACGTTATCCTCAAAGTCCCATGTCACTACAGAGCTGGCCTTCCTAACCCACAGGTGATGCTCTCAGGAGCAGCCACACTGTGATACTGAGATCCCATTGCAACCCAGCTCATTTCGGGAGGATTAGTCTGTGATCCCCTACTGCCCAGCCCCAAGAAGGGCAGCTCTAGGAAGGAAGGAAGGTGAATTTCAGGGAGATTAACCCAGCAGGATGGGAAATGGAGGTATATCTGCTCATCCAAATGGAAGGAACATCTGCCTCGTGGGGGAGTGGATAAAAATAGGCTGACATTTACCTGCCAGCCCTGAGCAGGGCAGGTGGAGGGCATCACAGCCAGGCCATTTCCACAGAGGGGTACAGGCTTCCACTCAAGTGGCAGGCATTTATTGCCTGCTGTCCTGCTCAGGCTATAGGGGCAGCATTCAGGAGCGTGGCTATGTGCCTGCAGGGCAGTGTCCTGGGGCAGCCCCAGTGATGGGGTGTCCCACTGAGGCAGGGCCATGTGCAGGGCACACACAGGCTTCAATGCTGGAGCAGTAGCGCAGCCAAGCATGCCTGCTGGGGCTGTGGCATGCTCAGAGCTCCCTGTGGATGGAGGTGGGCAGCAAGGTGGCTGACAGTGAGGTGTGCAGCTGAGTCATGGGCTGTGGTTTAGCTCAGGGCAGGGCTGGTGCCTGAGATCAGAGCCTGCTGAGGAATTCACTCCTCCCAGGAGGATGGTAGTGAAGCGAAAAGGCAGGGCTGGGAGCGTCGGTAGAAGTTCCCTGAGAAATGCCCAAGGAAGGTGAAGGAAACCTGCCTGGGCACCCTCTCCTGCAACCAGTGGAAAAAGGCCTCTTAGCCTGTCCAAATCCCTGTAGCCTGGGCTGCCAGGAAGGGCTGGCAGTCCAATCTGCCCTGCTCGGGAGCCAGGTGATGCCACAGTGGCTGCTCCCACCTCTCCACCCGCCCTGTCTTCCCATACACCACAGACTAGAACTGAGCATCCTTCTGCAATTGCATTAACATTTCCCATCAGTGCTGGCAGCTCCTCCTGAGGATGACACTTCAATCTTCACAGCCATCTCTGAGCAGCACAGACCAGCCACCTCACAGCCACAGAGGGCAGGATGCCTCCTCTGGCATCACTGCCGTGGTATCCCACCACAGAGCCGACATTGATGGTTACGTGCCCAAGGGCTCAGGGTGCCTGCCTAACCTGAGACACAAGCAGCCTGCCCCACAGCCAGTCACCCATGTCCCCAGGGCTGCAGTAGACCTGAGAGCCGCTGGCACTCCTGACCCTTGGCCACAGCAGCACCCAGCCCTTTCCTGGCCCAGCACCAGCCCCGCCCCAGCAAGCCCAAGCCCTGGCAGCCAAAAAGTCAGCGCATGGCTGTGGATGGGAAGGGTTAACAGCTGTGAGAGCAGAGCCTCCCCTTCCTCCCCCTGCTGCTGTGTTTTACAGGCTGGAGCTATTACCAGGAAATGTTTCCATCAGCACCATTGATCCCCTTGTTTACAGCCCTGTAATCCTCAGCTTTTGACTCGGGAGCAAAGATGAGGAGGTGGCTTTCTCCTGGGCATCACCTCTGCCCTGCCTGCATCCCTGAGCAATGCCTGCCTGGTTCCAGTGCTGGGGTGACATGCACCAAACCCTGCGGCGCCTGGCTGGGAACTGGGGTCTCTGCAGCCCATGGGGAGACTCTGGAGGGTGGCATGGGGGAAGGTGTCTGTGGCAGTGGCCACAGCCCTGCTCGAGCTGGGCTGTGCAGGGAGCCACTGGTTCCCCTTGTCTCCCGGTCCCAGCACACGGCCGTGCATCCACCAGCTGCCTGACACCTGGTCACAGGGCCCCATGCGGCAGCCCTGCTTTGTTCTCATTAGTGCCATGAGCGGAGCCGTCACGCTAAATTAGGGACCCTCCCGACACCGACACGCAGCACTGCATCTGCCATGCCAGCAGTGGCTGACGGCTGGGAGAACCTAGCACAGCGGCAGCGCGCACCCTCAGAGGCTGCAGGCAAGGCAGGGCTGGGGTACCAGCTCCTGATGTGGGGCACTGGGCTTGCACAGCCCTCCCTACCCCTGCACCTGTGTGTCAGCTCTCCCCACCCCAGCAGGGCTTGAGTGGTGCCCTAGACCCCGATGTCGGGGTTGTGGCTCTCCCTCACCCTTGACGGATCTGGGATGAGGCTCTCCATCACCTTTGACAGAGCTGGAATCCTGCAAACCTGTGCTGATCGTCTCTCAGATGCTTGCAGGGTTTCCATCACTGAGACTTTCATGAGCTTTTGTAATCCTTCTGGCTCTGAGGACACTAGAGCTTTGCCACCTCCCAGTGTTCCCAGGCATATCCCTGGATTGTGCCTCCCTCTGCTCACTTGCTACTTCCTGGATGCAGCACATCCCCTGGCCCCTGCTCTCCTAGGATGCATATGCTTTGCTCCCATCCAAAGCTCTCAGGGAAGGGGTTTACCTTCCTTCCCTTGGGGGCCTACAGGAGGGGTAAGGAATCAGGCTTTCCAGTCGGGCTGGAGCAAGGTCATAGTCTGCCTCTGCTGGGGCTGATCCAGGCTCGGCAAGTTCCAGGGTTGGGCTTCCCATTCCACCCATTCTCTGTGCCTCTCAAGCCCGGCTTCGCAGCACAAACCCTGCCAAAACATCACCAGTTCAGTTCATTCCCCTGCTCTGCTCAGGGCTCTGCCCCAGCCCCAACAAACCCCATGTCAAACCAGTTAGCCTCACAGCTGTCAAAAACAGTCCCCTGGCAGCTTTCCCCTTCCCTGATCCCCAGTCACCAGGGGCTAGGATCTTTTTGTCAGCACCCCAGCAGTGCCCCATTCTGCAAGTGCCAGCAGATGGGTCGTGCCCAGCCCTCCCTTTCCCCTGTGATGTCCTCCCATGGGGCACTCACTGTTTGGAAGTCACTGCCGTTGCACTCCTCATCACCGAACATGCAGTGGACAAGCATCTCGCCCAGGTCCAGCTGGTGGCCCACGCGCCCATAAAACTCTTCCAGGTCAAAGGGGCGGCTCTTCTCCTCCTCATTCATGTCCAGTGTCCCTCGCAGAGCCTCCAGCCTGCTCCTCTCTGTGCTCTCTGGCAGCAGGGGCTGGCCAGCCCCGTCCAGGAGACCCAGCATCTCCCCTGCCCAGTACAGGTCATGGCCGGAGAGCTGTGAGAAACGGGCAGGGTTGAGGTTGCAGATGGTGATGGCAGGGAAGGTCTTGTTGCGTGCTGTCACCTCCTCCAGTTGGGTGCTGTGGGGGTACTGGAAGTACAAGCCCACACACTTGGCGTAGGTGTGGATGAGGAGGCCCAGCGAGCCCAGGAAGGCCAGCAGCCACAGCAGGTTGCGGGCGGTGTAGCGCCCTTGCCGGAAGATGTGCTGGATGCCGTGGAGGGTCGAGCGGCTGGCAAACTCCTCCAGGCTGCAGGAGCGCTGCTGCGGGGCTGGGTGCACAGCAGGACAGTGCCCCTTGGGAAGGGCTGCTGAGGGCTCGGGGGGATCCCAGGGGCGTGGGGGGAGCCTCCGGGCTTCCTCCAGCCACATGCTGCCGCCCGGCTCTGGCGCTCCCCAAGGCGCTGGAGGAGGTTTGAGGAGCCGATGATGGGCACAGCGGGCTGGGGCTGTGCGACAGGCAGCGTGCGCTAGTGCCGGGGAGGGACCGGCACGGCGTGGCGCTGCCCGCACCCTGCCCCGGGCAGGAAGCTCGCTGAGTGCCGAGACCACAGACCACTTAGCGTTCGCCGCATCCCGGTGTGCAGGAACCAGAGCCAAAGGCTGAAACTTCCTGGAAAGCTCAGGGTACGCTCCCTGCCTGTCCCCTGGGGATGCGGGCAATTAGCTGGAGTCCTGCTCTCTTCCAGCATCTGCGTGCACTTAGCTTGGGCTCTCCAGAGAAGGAGAAGTGGCAAACTCCTCACATCCCCCAGTCACAGCAGAGGAGCTACCTAGGCAGGGCTGCGTGCCGCTAGGCACAGGAGAGGTGCATAAGCATGACTCAGGGGGCAATGGCTCTTTGGCTACAGGGATGTTGGGGTATCCCAAGGTCTGCACCAGCCTCGCAGGAGCATAGCTGCAAGGCATCAGACTGGTCAAGGAGCTGAGGTGCTGAGTATCACAGCTTCTGCACTCTTGGGCTCCAGCACCCCCAGAAGGTGCAAGGGGTCAGGTTCTCATGAGCACAGGGCAGGGCACTTGGGCGGCAGTGACGCAGACCCAAGGTGAGTGCCAGTGCTGGTACCACCTGCATGCCACCATGGGGATGTTTCCAGGCTCTCCAGCATGGTGCTACCTTGAGGCTGGGAGCTCTTGTTCAGTGCTGGGATTGGCACAGCTCAGCATCCCTTGCCCTCGAGGTGTATAGAAGAGGCAAGTCTTTTATGAGGCCAGCAATATAGCTGAGGAAAAAAGTTGCTTGTGAGCATTAAGAAATGCCCATGTACACAAAATCTTATTTCCTTTTCTGAACCATCTCTGTTGGTCTAGTAAAAGATGCTGCCTTTGCCTACCAGGCTCACTACGCATGTATGCACTTGGGCAGACCCAGCACTGTTTCCCTGGCAGTGAGAGCAGAGCAGAGACACAGAGCAGAGACACATCCATAGGGCCAGGGAGGACAGGTCAGGACTGGGGAGGATGCCCAAGCTGGGAGGGTGGGCTGCGTTCCCCCACCCTGTTTCTGCTTCACACACCAGTACCAGTGCAGGAGCTTGCTGAGAGGGATGATGAGTAAATCAGAAGTGAGGATGCTGGGGCACAGGGAGGACGGCAGAGCCCAGGCCCAGCAGGTCTGGATGTGGACAGGATTGGTCTCTCTCCTGCCCAGTCTCTGTCAGCCCTTGTTGGGCACCCAGCAGGTATGGAGCGAAAGGCACTGCAAAGCCCCACTGTGTCTGCAGCCATGGGATGGCAATGCTGGCCCTGCCCAGCTGCACTCCCCTGGCCTGTGCTCCCCAGCACAGCTCTAAATCCATTAGTTTTGCATAATTAGATTTTTCTCAATTACCAGATTATGATAATTAACAGCTCATTTGTAGGAGGCAGTGCCTAATCCCAGCATCACGCTTGGCTCCACGCCAGCCTGGCTCCCGCGGCTGCCGGCTCTGGGATGGCAGGCAACAGAGCAAACACCAGTACAGTGAGCCCTGACAGGCAGCCTCAGGGATGCACCCACTACCCCCAAAAGCTCTCCACCACTGATGACCCAGATTTTGCCTGCACTGCCTGGCCTACGCAGCCTGCCTGGGGGCATCAGACCCCCAAACCAGGGGCAGCATCCAATGGCAAGGGGAGCCAGCAGGGTTTAGAAGTGGCTCAGGCATCCGCACAGCCCCAGAGATGAAAACATTGTTCCTACAGTGTCTCTTCGTGCAAACTGGCACCAAAGGAAACCACTGGAGAGGTTAGCATCATGGCTGGCACAGCTACAGACATTAAGAGGCTTGTTAATGAACTTTTCTAGTCAATAACGTTGCTGAGGAAGGACAGAAGAGCAGGGTGGTGGGAAGCAGCCACCAGTAATGTACCAATCTTCATCATGGGAAGGCAGGGCAGTCCAGGCAATTACTGCCCATTAGCAGAGCTTCATCCCTAGTGAAATAATAGAACAAAAGAGAAAAATGCTTCTGAGGACCTCAAGAGCAGAGGAACGAGGAGCAATAAAGATTTGCTTGGAGCTCACACAGAATAAATCTGCCCAGTCTGACTTGATTGTCTTTTTTGGGGGGTAAAATTGCTAAATGAATTGATGGAGAGGACACAAGAGGTGTGATATATCAGGCTTTTATTAAAGCATTTGATAGAGCATCTCAGGGAATTAATTCTGTTTAGCAGAGACAGCCGACCCCTGCCTGGGCCGGTTGCAGCCGAGGAAGTGAGTGTGATGGGGTGGCCTTGAGGTGCATGGGGAGCATGGTGGCACCCTGTGACCCCAATGTATCCCACCTCCCACCCCAGGTGAACGTGCTGCAGCTCCCACTCCATGTCCTGGCTCCCAGGACAGCTGTGCCAGCAGCACCAGGGTTGTATCCGGAAAAGCTGGATGCAGCCCCATGGGGGCAATGCTTGTCGCCAGCCCAGTGGCCTCCCTTCACCCGCTGGGGGACACCATCTCTGCATGCCCAGGGCCATCCTGCAGCTTCAGGGCTCTTCTGCTCCTGCCACAGGCTCTGCCTGCAGAGCTCTGGCTGGGAAGCGGCATGGAGCATGGGCAGCGGCCGTGCCAGGCCAGGCACAGCTGGCTGGGATGTCTCAAGCCATTCCTGTGTGTCTCCTTTGCCTGGCATTTCTGAACTTCTGCCATGAGCATCTCCAGGCAGGGGATCTGGTCCTGCCTCTCTGCCCAGCATGGGTGGCAATTGCAGCTCGCACAGGCAGTAAATCAGGCTGCTTGCCGGGAGGTGACAGCACAGCCCTTGCTGCTGCAGCTCCAATTCCCCAGTATCTGATTTCCGTGGGCTGCCTGAGAGCCAGCTGTGTTTGTGCTGCTTGGCCCAACTCCCCCTGCTCTGCCTCTGTCACCAGGTTTTGCCAAAGGCCCTCGAGTGTCTGTGTCCAGGAGCAGCCCTGTGTGCCACAGCCCGGCCCTGATGAGGAGCAGAGCTGCCCCAGATCCATTGCTTGATGCCCATGGAGCTAGATGAGCCTCAGCAAGGCAGCTTGACACAACCCCAATGACATTTGCTCCTCAGAAGGATCAGTGCAGGGTCAGAGGTCCCAGGGCAAATTCCAACATGCCTTTCTCAGCAGCGGAGTAACCCATAGTGTGGCTCTTGCTGGAAGCCACCTGAAGCATTTCTCCTTGAAAACAGTTTCTCCTGACTTTGATGGGTCTTTTGATGCTCACACTGAGCATCACACACAGCAGTTCCCATTCTGGCTGGAGCCTCCTTTCCCCTCATCAAGGAGTTCCTCTTGCTGTCCCCTTCAGCTTCAACAGTCCCTTTCCAGGTCCTAGCAGTTGGGGACTGGAGGTGCCAGAGGTGACAGCAGGGTCTCTTATGGAAGCAGCCCTGATGTGGGGCAGCAAGGGAGAGTGTCCTGCTGGCACAGCCCACAGAGTGATGAGGTCCCCAGAAGCCATGAGATACTGGGGGAAACTGGTGGGGAAAGGGCTCATGAAGGCACAGCTTACCCCCATGCCTGGCCAGCCAAACTGCTCCATAAGAAAGGCACTAAATATCCATGAGACCATCCAGACATGGCAAGTCGGTATGAAGAGCAAAGCACTAGCAGTTCAGGAGCCAAGCAGAGAGAAAAGGTATGTGGTTTTGAGGCACCAGCAGATTCCATCATGCCCCACACCTCTCAGGTAACAGAAGAAGCTATCAAATGAGGCGCATCTGCAGTGGTCCCACCAGCAGCTTCTCCCCTTCCAGCAACCTCCTCTCTCCCTGCAGCACAGCTCCTTCCCCCACCAGCCTCTTCCCAGCTCCTCGAGCTGGTGCTAATCCCCTAATCTGTGCAAAGCAACAATTTTCTGCATGGCACAGTGGCTGGTTTGAGATCTGTATCCCTCCTCCCCCAAAAGCCAGCTCTGTAGCAGCAGCAGCAGGTATCTGGTGTGACAGGCACCATCTACCTCTGATAAAACTATGGTTTATGTGGCCCTATTTCCATTTATCTCGGAGCTGATAATTATCCCTCATCTTGCAACGTGTTGTGCTGCCATGTGTGCTGAGGGAGAGGAGAGGATGCATGCTTTGCAGGGCACTCCTGAACCACAGCCTCCTGCCAGCAGGGTTTGAGGAGCCGGTGGGGCGATGCTCAGGGATGAATCCTGCCCACCACGCTGTCTGCTGAGCCGTCCCTCCCCTCTCCGCACCCAGGCTGCGTTCCCTTTAATCTCACACAGCAGCGGAGATGGATTTTTTCCCTGTGAGCCAGATGTGTTGCACGGAGCATAAACACCCGCGACAGTTGTTGTGCTCCTCGGTGCGAAGGCATCAGATGTCTGCATTAAAACAAAGCTCTCCACTTAATTACTCAGGCTGATAATTCAGCTCATGGAGGCGGCTCTGGTTGAGAGCAGAGGACTGGATCACAGCTGGGACTGGAGAGCCTTAGAGTGCACATTAATCCCATCTCTCCCAGCCCCGATTAACGGTGCTGGAAACCTGTCCACCCTCCTCATTCCCAGGGGATGGGTCTGTCCAGGTACCCACTCGTTGCCCTGCCAGAGGTGCCCAGGCTGATGCCTGAGGGGCTCTGCTGACCCCTTGCTGCACCAAAGCACCCTCTTCCCAGCATATTCAAGGTGGGGTTCAGGACATGGGGAACCATTACTTGGAGAGTGCTGTGTTGCCCTGGGAACACCCATCCACTGAGTCTGAAGCCCGGGAGAGCTGCACACGGAATGAGGAGGGCAGGGTCCCAGGGTCACCCTGTGTGGGGACTTGCTGCCACGGTGCGGCTGGCAGGAGCTGGGGCCAGCAGCACAGCCAGGCTCAGAGCAGGACCGGCAGATGACCAAAGGCTGTCTCCTGATCCTGCTGACTTGCATTTCCCCTTCCACAGACCAGCAAATGCCTCCTGCAAATTCACCATGT